TGGAGAGGCAAACATACCCAACGTAGAAAAGGTAAGGCATGGAATGGAATCCAAAAAACCAGATCATGTTTATTATATATAACAATATACATATACATATATATATTATATGATAATATATACATACAGCTCAAACTCCACAGTGTAAAACCAAGAACAAAGTTAAGAGACACGTAAGAGAAGATGAAATCAAAGATTAATATGCCAACATATCAGCAATGAACAAGTAACTGCAACACCGTCTCAAGTATTATTCTACTAACCTGGCAAAGACAGTTAAAAATGCTTGCAAAACCAGCACGGTTACAACTGCAACAACACCGATCAGAAAGCATTCCCACCATGCACCTTCATCCTTGCACTACCACGTGCAGCCTACCAGATGTAAGTGTTCCTAGGGTATTTGTCACCAGGACAGTGTTTCAGGGGCTTCAGTTCTCTGATACAGAAACAGAAATGGTCTTACCAGATCTGCTAGACACCTGGATTAAATTGGTTTCTCATATTGCCCAAATATAAGTCACAGGGCTCAGGACCATGAGAGTGTGTTGGTGTGAGACTGCAGACAAGCTTGGCTCACCACACCATGCTGAGTGCAACCCAGCATCATACGTGTGTACAATGTAGGCATCATAAAACCTTCAGCTCTGATTGCACTGAGTTCCCTGCAAGCACACGTGTCTCAGGAAAAGAGACAAAGCTGACCTTTAGTGGAAGCCTGCTTGGCAGGCGGCTTCAATACCTGCCTGGGGAATCCTTATTAAAATGGACTGTTTTCATGCAGCACTTCATTTAAAGAAGACATTCTCCCCCATGGAGGAGACTTGCACATAAAGACTCTGTCTGAAGGACAATCGGAGCAAGGTCTGATGACGATGGATTGCTGGTGATGAAATGAGCTTTTTATTACCCCAGTTCCAGTATGTTCCTACAGACTGGCTCTTGCTAGCCAGTGCAAAAGTATGTTGGCAGCACATTCCTACAAGCATGGATGATGCCCTCTTGCTCAGGTATCTTTTAGCATTGACTCAAAAACCTGGTTTACCTTTATGTTTGTGCTGAATGAGCAACAATGACAACTGGAAACAGAAACACATGGGAAAGAGAAGTTTCTAACATGAGAACACACTGCCCCAAGGCTATCCTTGCATTAACAATTTTTTCTAGCCACAGCCTACGCTCTTTAGCCCTTCCATTAACACAGCTAGTCACTGTATTCACTGTGTGCCACTATGTGCTCATAGCTGAACGTACAAATCTGGCATGTAAGAGATGGCTCTCAGAAGAGCAGTGAAGGAAAATCCAGACTCCTGGGTATTTGGTATGTCTCTAATTTTGGCTGCTGTCATGCCAGGCACTTAGTGCGGATGATGTGCCATGCTCTGAATCCCCTCCATCTGCTGCTCGTTAGCTGACAAAGGCAGCACATGCCATCTCCCCACTAGCTGCTGCTCATTACTGACAACAGCCATTCTGTGTTCACAATGTTCTCTCTGTCATAATCTAATACAAAGATGTACAAAGAGCAAAGGAAAGAGGAAACAGAGATGACAGAGTAAATTATAAGCTTAACTAAGAACATTAGTGCACTCTTAAATCACAAGATCCTTCCAACAGCAAGATGCAGGTCTTGGCCCCAAAGGAATAGGTCAGCAGGTAGGTACAAAGGTCAGCACTGAAGCTAATGCATTTACCTCAAAATGTTTTGAAACGTGCAAGCACCCATTTCTAGGCTCTTTCCATTCAGGTTCTGTATTTTGTGACATTTTGGCTCTTCCAGATCAAATAACACTAAGAACTGAGTGGCTGACAGCATGAAGCTCCCAACCTCACCAGGGCAAGCACTAACCCCAGGTATATATAGTGCCTGGTGGTATGCAACCAGTGCAGGACTTAGAATACATGCAATCAATACCTATAAGCTCCTCATGAAAAGTCCTGTTGGTAAGGATTCTGCATTTGTCAAGAAGAGCCTCAGTTACCATTATAAATCATCTACACAGCTAAAAAGCAATAGCAGTAGTAACACTTGAAAGAAACATGCATGACAGATACTGGACTACACAGGCTGATGAGCAAACCAACAGATGAGAACCAGAAGAGACAGGGGAATGAACTACAAAAGGGTTCTCCTTTGGCAGATACATTGATGATGGCAGATTACTCAAACTTTAGAGAACTGGAAGTACTTACAAAACATTCACATTGTTATGGACCATTAATTCTTTTTCAAGCTCAGTAAGTGGCTTGGAGGAAAAACAAAAGAGGGATTCTGCTTCAAGGAGAAGTAGTTCTTATTTACAACAATGTGGAGCCACTGTCTCAGCTTATTCCTTCCCTCCCTCCCATGCCTTTCCCTTAACCCTCCTCCCCAGATAAAACCAGGTAAAATTTTTCAGTCATCACATCACCATAACAGAAGGAAATGTTCTATGCAATAACAGCACAAAGTCAGCCAGTGTGGGAAGTGTTAAACTGATGAGAGGCCGGGGTACAGAGGAAGCATGGAAGATGACAAACAGTATGGATTCTAGCAATTGTGGGAGATGGAGAGAAAGCCTACAAGCAAAGGGACATGGTTAACAACGAAGGTCCTGCAAAGCAGGAGACGAAAGATGGACAAAAGGAAGAGAGGGAAGAGGTAAGACATGAATGGACAACTTGCAGGTAATTCTGTTTTGCATCTTTTTTCCTTCTCACACCCAGACTATCACTTTTCCACTCACGGGCCACAAAAAATAAGAACCAGACCAGAAGTTCCAAGTTCTCCTGTTTGAAGGGGGACAGACAGGATGAGATCCTTCAGTAATGGAATTGATAAAATATTGATTACATCCACATTTAACTATAAGACAAACCAGAAGAGAAAGACTTTCCACATAACTACACACATGTGTGCATGAAACTTCCTCAGTCAGCATGCCAAAATACAGCATACTTGTCTGTACAACAATACCAGGCTACAGTACCAAATGAATCCTGTAACCAAGCTCCTATTCACACACAAACACTTCTTAGCAAGTCTAACACCTTTCAGTGTGAAATAGTTACTCGATGAGGAATCACAGGCAAAGCGAGCTTAAGAGTACAGCTGAGAGTAGTAACACACTGGGAACTCAGCCATCTCGTGCTGCTAATGCAACTCCTATGGCTTTGTCTCCACTATCAACAGCTCAGCTACTGCACAGCAAAATCAGAGCAGAAAACAAAGGACTAATTTTGCTGCAAGGTAAGTTTTAGAAAGTAGAGCCCTGTTCTGACAGAGAGAAGGTAACAAAGCCTAGCCTAAAATGATCAAAAAAGAAAAGTTTTATACCCATATGGCTGCTTTTCAATGCCTTTTCTCCAGGCCTTTCCTCTAGCTAGGAACAAATCTAACACCAGATTAAGCTGTATAAGCCCATCCAACTTTTGATTACTTCATTATGGAAAAGACTGGTTGGTAACACTACAGATTTGGAGATTCAAATGAGCACTATCTACATTCTGTTTTGGCTTATCTGACCTGTCAACAGTAGGCCAGCATAGGATAGCACTGCTCTCCTTGCAAGTCTCTTTTCTATGCTTATTTTCCATTTGTTAGGGTGATCAGATAGCAGATAGATGTATAGCAAGAAGAAAGAACAGTCTAATTGTCTCCATCAACTTGTGTAGGATCAAAAGGATGCTCATACAGAAAATGTTAGCCAGTCAAGCTGGCTAAAAGTATTTAAATATAAAACTCAACAAAGGACAATTCTGCAGAAACTTAAAATTCATAGTTGCAGCATAGCCTAGATCAGTGAGGTTTATTTCAGTCTGTTGTGACAAAAACAGCTCTTATGAACTGTCATTTTACAGCTATTTATATTTTATTGTCAGTTACTATGTTTATTACTGTCTGTAATTCAACTGATTTTAGTAAGGAAATTTTTGAACAGAGTCACAAATCATATTTTGCTGTTACTGATTCTTGGATAAATACCAGTACAGCCTTCATTAAGGAAATCTTCATTAGGGTTATTGAAAATCTCAACAAAAATCATCTAATTGTATCAGGTGAAACAAAATTTATGCAAGGCAGATGATGACAACACTCTTAGAGACAGAAAAACTCCTGGTTTGCATCCTATAAATACCAAGAAGTGCCATCATTTCAGCTCGTTTTAAGAAGTAGAAACAGCAGACCCAAAGTCATGCCAGCAGTCTATTCAGGAGCCAAGTAATAAGGAACCTGAGTCACACAGCTGTTGTCATCAGGAACACCTCACTTAAAAATACAGGTTGAACTTTGGATATTTTTATTCTTGCCAAAGCTCCCACCGATATCAATTCTGCTAGGGTTAAAACAGATATGCATGACAAAGATCAATCCTAATAACAAACCCATCCTTTCCTAAGATGTTAACATTTAAGTAAAGAAAAAACTTAAATTAACCTGTCTTCAATATTGCAGCATGAGCCTGATGCCTTATAAGAACTGCAAAACATTAGGTATTTCACACAGATGCTTTAGAAAGTGAGCAAAGCTCCCTGCCTTAAAGCAGAACTATATATGGAGATTTCCACAACACAGTTATTAAAGCCTCCTTACTTAAAAGGTATGGATAACTGGGGTTAATGTAGAGGCAATCAAGATAAAAAAGCAAGAATATTTAACAACACATGGTATTTCTATTCAGGTAATTTGAAAGAAACTGTTCCTTTTTCCTCCTGCTCCATAAGGAAAGCTAATGATGTTTTGGAAGTGTCCTGGGAAAGGTAAGCTTCCTATAAATTCAGTCTAAGTGTAATGAAAACCTCTGTAAAGCATACACATCAAGAAACTACATTGGATACTGAAGAATCTTAAAGACCTGAAATAATAAAGCCTGTGCTTTTTTTTTTTCCTAACAAGATCTAAATTAAACTGGCATCAGCTTTGTTACTTCCCTAACACACACTACAGAACACCCCAGTAACACTACTCAGCCAAGCCTTGTGATATAAAGTATGTTAAGGTCACAGCAATGGTCACTTACGGCATTCCTTCTCATCACTGTCATCAAAGCAGTCTGGCAGCCCATCACACTGCCAGGCCCCTGGGATACAGCGTCCATTACTGCACATGAAGTTTCCAGGAATGTTGCATTCATTTGTGAAGTTATTCCCAGGCAACAGTTGGCTGTCTGCGACAAATGAAAGAGAGGTAAGTCTACAGAGGATTTTAACAAAGGCAACAAAAGCAGTCACTGAGCAAGCTGTTTCAGCGGTTGAATGGAGATGAAACATGGATCTTGACCCTGGTTATTGTGTCATTATCCTATCAGCAGCCTGAGCATGGTACTTTGGCAGCACTTTCTTTTTCCTAAATTATCATTTTACCTGTTCTTCATTCTCACAGTCCATTCTGCAGATTTCCCTCCTACTATTTTCGTTCTAGGAACCTCATGCAGCCTTCTATACATATACTCAGGTCAAAGCAAAATTTGTTTTTAAAAAAAAAAAAAAAATCTCTTTTACACATGGTCAGTCTAAACAGAAATAAAACAGATGAGGCTACACGAACTCAGCTCTATAGTCCCTCGCTTTTGTTACATTAGTACTTAGCTGGCAGAATACTTTGTTGTTGCTACCCAAGGGCTATGCACTGCGTAATTCTTACTAGGTTTTCAATTAAGTTTTAAACATAGTGCTGCTGATCAAAGTTAGAATTGAGCTTCTTAGTGTTAATATAGTCTCCTGGCATCTATCTGTCCACAGGCTAGTAAGGCAGTAGGCCAAGTAGTGGGGGTCAGTAGCAGGATACTGGAGATCAACAGTGAAAGCGAAAAATGTAGAGATTTGCCTTCAAGGTTAAACACAGCTCTAGTCAGTCATTTTAATCTACCGTTTTTCTCACTTAGTGCATTGTTTCTGGAATGCAGATATCACAGAAACACAAATTTCAATGAAGGAACATAATGACACTCAGTAGTTTTAATAAGCACCAAAATGGCATGACCTGTTGCTAAGCTGGGGGGAAGCTGCAAGATAAGGCAGAGAATGGGAGAAAAAATATCTTTCCCCTCATCTTCCTGTCATATTCCAGACTTGTCCCAGGCAACATATACTTGACCAAGTAAAGGATCAGAAATACAAAGCTTTCCCAGGTAAGGATGGAATTGTCACAAAAATATGTCCCCCCTCCACCCCCCGCCTGCCTACCTACCTTCATCATTAAAATCCAGAAAGAACAAATTAAGCTGACACAAAGCTTAACCATTTACTTATCATTTATCTATTTTGAGGATAACCACATTACTTTTGAAACCCTGGGGGAGTGGGAGAGCTGCAGTCGGTTCCCTCCACTGCCCACCCTACACCAGCTTGCTTCTGCTGCTCTTGAAGTCCAACTCCTCCCTTTCCCCAGGAAGGCCTGAACACCAAGGACAAGGAAAAACACTACAGACACAGCATGGGGAGCGCCCCACTCTTCAGTCCCGCACAGGGCACAGAGTAGATCACAACTGGCAGGATCAGCAGTTTAGGGAAGACCCCTTCCTAGCTTATTCCTGAACTCCCAGGGAGGAATTTGCTTTGTACGGGCATCTTTGGAGAACTTACCTGCCAAAATAACAAGCTTTATAGCATGATTAGAGCATGAGGCTTTCCAGAAACTCTTGAATCAGCCAAATTATTCCCTTCCTTCCCCACAGCATTTCAAAATGCTCCATCCCTGACACAGGCAAAACTGCTAAGTTTAACATCACTATTTCAAAAGACACAATAGAAATGCTTCAGGGTGGTAGTTTCTTTAAGCCTATGTCTGCCCCAAACAATGAATTTCCTCCCAAATGTTATTTCTTGCAAATGGCTGATTCTTCTGGGGATGTTTCAAGAATCTGCCAGCACAGTGCAGATGCCTTAGTGGAAATCTGCCCTGAGCTGTTAAAAGACAAGGTAGCTTGGAAAAAAACCCAAAAAGGTGGAAATAAGGTCTTCTGAGGCAGGTGGGCAATCCAAGCCAGTGGCCACACACCCAGAGTCACTCCTAAGTCTCCTGTTTAAAGAAAGAGAGTGACAGCCACCAAAAAGCATGCCCAGGCATGCAGCTGGCAATTCAAGTCTTTTAGCAGCTTCATTCAAACCTCAGTTTCATTCCCTGCATCACAGGAGAAGCAACCGGTTTGCCCTCCACCCTGTTACAACCTACAGCACACTGGAACAAGCTCAGCTCCAGCCCAGTCAGGCAGGGCCTTCACTGCTCCCAGCAGCTCCTGGAAAAATGCTATACCCAACTCTGCCTCATGCCCTAGACCCTAAATTTAAGTCAGCAATGGCAACAGTTTGTCCTTGGATAGTCCTGCCATGAAACACTGAACAGGGTACAGCACTATGTATCAATAACCACTCCCAGGCTACTGCTGCTTTACAGCCATCACTGATAACTAAGTTCCACAGATCTGTGCTCAATCAGAAAGGGCTTTTTTGTTGATTATGGTGTTTTCCCCTTACACCAATAATGGAACACAATCAGATTGGTCTTTGTATCATTGATGTGTACCTGGTAAGTAATGACCAAACAAAAATCACTACACTCAAACAACTACGGGGTGAAATATGACAAGATATGACAGAGATGAGATACCTGGTTATTCTTTGCTAAGTAAAGGTTCAGTCAATATACCATGTATCAAGTTAATTATAAAGCCTCTAAGAGCTTCAACAGCAGAATATAACTCTCTTCTCTACAGTCTCCCCAAAAACCAGCTTTCAGGTCAGTGTGGTACGACTGAAAGACTTTCCTGATAACAGTCATAACTTTTATTAGAATTCACAAGTTTTCAGATACTACAAAACTGAAATGTCCTAAGAATAAATCTCTGACATAAAACAGAGCTTTTCCAAGCTTGACAAGAGAATTAGAAATTACCAAGGCTTTTGCCCTCTCAGAATCTAAGCAACCAGGCAGTACATTTTGGCAGCAACATCAAAAATATGCCAATCTCATGGCATCTCTCGCTGTTGCTCTGCACTACCTTCTAGTCTAACCTCATACTTACAACCTCTCAACCAACCTGCTTCACTTCCACATGGAAGCAACACTTATTCAAAATGGAAAATCCTCCTGTGAACACTTGTGTGTGACTTCTTCATGACTTGGGCAAGTTTCTAGATAAGAACCAACACCATGTCCCACAGCTACCTGCCCCAAGTACAGAACTGTCCTCTCCCTACTAAGCATCATGGTGTTCCTGAGAGAAAATATAACTGGTTTCATCTCAAGCACTGTAACACTTCCTTGTCAGATTTACTGATGTTGTTATCTTGCCTGAAAAGCTTTAGCCATGACCTCCACGCTCCTTTAAAGAAAAAATTTAGACCAAGCTATGTAATTTTGGAAATTTCTAGAGTTTCAAAAAGCAAAAAAACCCATAAACAAGAAACAACCCTCCCTAAAAAACGCAGCAAGTCTCCATTATTTTTAACAACTCCTTTAAATAAATGCCATACTTCTATTAAATCAGAGCAACAATCCAGGAACAAGTATCAGATTCTGTTACCTAGTAAGTTGTTTGTTTATAGGATTTCCTTTGTCATACAATAAATTTATCCTCAATGTTCTTATAAAGCAAGGATGTACTACCAACCCTTTCACCAAACAGGAAACAAAAGACAGAGGTAGATCGAGTTACTTGCAGACAGCCCTACGAAAGCTTTGCTGCAGAATGGGAACACGGGAACTCTGACTCAATCCAGTTTTAAAGCAACAGATATTTCTCTAAAATGTGACCTTCATCAGCTGCTAGGAGAGTCACGTGTTACAGATAGCAACTTGAGAGTCACAGTCATCCCACCTAGAAACTTGTTTTGTGTATTACTCCATGCCCAAAAACTCTACTGGTGGATAAAGAACTGTTAAAATAATGGCACATGCGGAACTGTTTTAAATTGTATTGCTCCTTTCGTTTCCCTCACTTTGCAGGTCTCTTCTAATGGATTTTAAATGATCCTCAAAGAAATCCTCAATGCAGTCATCATCTCCCAACCCTCAAGAATGCCAGGTGCCTGCCCACTCAGCACACAGCCCACTGCATGACTCCGGGATTTGTGCACACACGAGGCAGAGCCCTGTTACAGACACACACATAAGACAGACATGAAAAGGACCAAACCAGATCATCTTGTCCGGTTTTATAACAAGGTCCATAAAGATGTCAGGTTTTGTGTAGCCAACTTGCTGCACTCCCTGTTGGCAGGGGCAGAAATTCCTTCAATCTGGCAGAGCTGGTTTCCAATAGTTGACATATTTACCCTGCAGCCTCTTTGACTAATTTTGAATTCAACCCAAATACGAGCTACACGGATGTGTTCAGTTAAATAAAGGAGGAAGGAAAGAAGAGGAAAGTAGTCCATTTTCACTGCAACACATTGCTCACTTTCAGCAGCATACCATCTGGGCTGAATTAAAAAAAAAAGGGACTCATGTTTCACTGAGAAGGGGACTGAGTAAGGAAAATCAATCTGTTTTAGCAGCCACTTTCAAAAATGTTACCAATTAAATATTTAATATTCCCTGAAAAAGAATCAGAGAAAAATACATAAAAAGACAAGTCATACAGCGCAAGCACTTTACACTGTATTAAGAAAGCAAGTCAAGGATATCTTTCATAAAAACATATTTTACCTGAAAGCACTCCAGAGAATTGTACACATTACAGAACAGATCACTACTGATAACACAGCTGCCTCTGTATCAGAAACTATAATCAGTAAGAACAGGCAGTCACCCTGGCCAAGAAGGTTTTGAGGAAGAAATACAAGACACTTATGTGTTCAACATCCTCATGAGCAATGCCAGTAACTTCAGCCTCTTGGCAAAAAGGATCTATCACCAAGGATAAAGCCAAACTTTCGGCATGTATTTTGTGGGAAGCATGGCATCTTCACTGGATACTTTCAAAGGATCACTGCTTAAAGTTTTTTGCATGTGAAGAGAATTATAGAATTATTTTGGTCCAGGCTGGTATGTAGCTGTTAGGCTGAAGGGCTACTCATGATACTTTCTTGTCACACAATGTATGCATTAGATTTCATACTTGAATTCATTTTTTTGTCTGCTTAAACCTTGCCACACCAGGTTTGATTTAAGCGTATCAGAAATCCATTCTGCCTCTACTGAAATCTGCAACACGTTGTGAAAACA